CAGGCGGGTCTCGAACCCACGGGCTCAGGCAATCCCCTCACCTCAGCCTCCCAAAGGCGCAGGATTACAGGCTGAGCCACCGAGCCCGGCCCCAGGCCACTTTTCCCAGTAATCCCTAAGCCCAGTCCCTCCTTTGCTCCCCATCTTCAGGTACCTCAGCCCTTTGCAGGCCCAGACCCTGCTCTCCTGTCCTGCCCCCTCAGATTTCTTCTGCCTGAGGCCCCTGGGCTCCTGCAGTCCAGCTGGATTCTACTGACCAGCCCCCAGGGCTCTCTGCTATCCACATGATCTTGGGGAGTATCTTGCCACAGCCAGGAAGGCAGGAGCTCCTGGGCCAGGGTCAGAAACTCCCTTGGGCAGAGCTCTTCCTGCAGATTCACAACTTCCCCCTTCCAGTGAAATCTTCAGGGGTCCACACATCTGCCCCTGGATCTGACCCAGACAGAGAGGGGCCACTGGTAGGGACAGCTGAGACCATGGCTGCAAATCTGCTTTCTCTTTAAGGGTGGGCACAAGAGCTGAGAGCTGTGGCCATGGAGTATCCTGACTTCACAGTTTAGGAGAGAAGGTCTCCAGTCATCTGAGGTTTGAGGCCCAGTCTCCTCTCTTTCCTGAAGCTGGGAGGTGGAGATTTGCAGGTTAAGGTTTCTGAGTTTCTCTGAGAAATGATGTGCAATTGTATGCAAGACCATGCCAGTGAGAATTAATTATCCTTGAATCAACAACCTGAGGCCTAAAATTCCTTTGTAGTCTTGGGTAGGAGGCAGGTTTGGGAGTCTCCCCATTTCCAGTCAATTAACTGTACAATACTCTGAAAATAAGAGAATTCTAGGGTAAAAGGGGAAACCATGACAGAGTAGGGCATTCACATGCTCCAAACAGAGAAGAGGCCTCCCAGATACTCTGGAGTTCTTTAAACGAGGGCAGTACCCCTACATCTCTCCCAGAGCACTACCATCTCTTCTGATCCCATCTCATCTGGCTCATCTTCAGAGAAACAAGGGGAGCCGGTGGGGCACAGAGCTGCAGCTGCCCCTTCCAATCACCATCACCTTGTTCCTCAGCTAGCTTTCCTGAAAACCAATCAGGCACCCTACAAGGGCAGGCAGGGGCGAGAGTAAGAGTGGCAGTGGCCCTCAAGGATTGGAGGACCCCAGTGATGTAATTAGGAGCCTGCTAGGCTGGGAGGGAACACCGAGCATCCTGGGTTGGGGGATCTGGGAGGCACAGATGGAGAAAAGGGGCATTTTTTACACCAAGACCAGTGGACTGTATTCATGGGGCAGGAATTGCTTAGCAGGGCCTGCTCAGGCCTGGTAGGGAAAAGCAGAGCTCAAAGGGGGATGGTAGGGGCCAGATGCAGGAGAGCTAGGGCAAGGATTCTAGGAAATACCGTGGGGAGGGGAGAAGGGTAGCCACAAAAGGGAGATGCCTTGGGGAGTGTGGAAAGGGGACCCAGAGGTAAATAGAAGGGAGGCACCTGGGAAAGCAGACATTCCAGGCCAGGAGTATAGGAGGGGTGAGACAAAGAAGAGGGCTGGAGGAGGGAGCTGAGGGATGGGGAGAAGGTGCCTGGGTCTGGTGGAGCAGCAGAGCAGCCTGGAAGGTGAGTGGAAGGTGCTGGGGTCTGGATGGGGCACTGCTGAAGGCTGCACTCTGGGCCACTCCCAGGCCAGCAGCCTGGCCCAGCACCACAGCCCTGAGCAGGTCCTAGTCAGGCCAACCTCAGAGATTAGGGGGCTCCTGCCTGGGCATGAAGGTTTGACCCTCCTGACCTGGTGGCTCAGAAACGTGCTCATGGTGACCCCCATGCTCATGGTTCTGCACCCAGACCTGGAGCCACTGCTCACCAGGAAGTCGAGATTCTGCAGGGCAGGTGGATCAGCACCTCAGCGGCCCCTGGTGCCTGCCATCCTGCCCGCCCTCAGCACTAGGGCCTAGGTCCTAGCCCTGGTGTTCCTAGGGGACCCGGGAAAGGGGGAGGTGAAGGCACTTTTCCCGCAGGGACAGGGCCAAGAAGCAAGAAGGTCATGTGCGACAACTGGACCCCTCGGAGGCTAGAAGAGCAGGGGGCTTCTCCATTGAGAAGTGGGTGTTCCCCTGGGAAGCGACAGGGGTGCAGCACGGGGGTATGTCAGTGAGAGGTCAGACCATTGCTTCGCCCAGGTCACCAGAATGACCCTGGAGGTAGGAGACCTGGGTTGGAGTCGGGATTCCTCAACTTTTCAAGTCATCTGCTTTCTTCCAACCTCATTTTCTTCCCTGTAAAATATGGGCGCTGGACGAGGATAGAGACTTTCTGGCTTCCTCCTCCCCGACTCTTAGAAAGGAAAGATGGACAGGTGGGTGAATGCCAGTGCAGGTGCGGCAGGTGGGCGGCGGTGGGGGCATGGCCCAGCAGAAACGTATTCCCCGCGAATTTGGGACTCTTTCCCGCAGCTGAAGAGGTCCCTGAGCGCTCGTGTCTGCTCGTGTCTGCTCTGTCCCTTCCAGGCCACTCCTCAGACAGTCCTGTAAGGTGGGGGCGGCGCCCGGTCTCATCTGCCTATCACCTCCCTCTCCCTCCCACACCCGCCACCTAGTCCCGGGTCCGCGTCGCGGTCGGCGACCCTGGAGCAACGGGAGAATCTGGGTCGCAGTCTGCCCCCAGGTGGCGCTGCGCTCCCGCATCAGGTTCAAGTGCACCAGAGGAGGGATGACATCATCCTGGGCCAGGGCAGTATCCTCCAGGAACTCCGAGGAAGAGGGCAGCAGCACTGCTCCTGCTCCTTGTTGCTTGGGGACAGAAGGGAATGTTTTCCCCTCCTCCCGCCCCCTCTTCCCGGGCTAAATCACGTTTAGTTAGAAAGGCTTTCCTAAAATGACAGGTTCTATTGAAGCCTTAAGGTGTGGAGATGGGTTGTTTTAGTTTAGTTTGGCTTTTAGTTCTTTCCTGAGGCACCGTCACAAGTCTCATTTTTGCAAGGGGATGAGGGGGAGCTGTTATCAGAAGGGCTTAAGAACTGAGCTCCTCCTTTTATTAGCTGTGTGATCATGTATGTGTTAGTTAACCTCTCTAGGCCAAACTTTACCTGCAAAATGGAGAGAATATCGGTATTCACCCCACAGAGCTGAAGGAGCAGCTGAAGCAACCTAAGGCATCTAGCTGGTGCCCAGGGCAAATGGGAGCTCCAGCTGGCCTTTGCTCCAGCAAACGCCCTCAGAGGGTCAGGAACCTGCAAGTGTGTCTCCTCTATCCTGGGCTCAGTGATTGCTTAGGTTACTGGAGCGACAGGCAAGTGGGTGGAGGAAATAGGGGATGACTGTACTCCAGAATCTGCGTTTTTTGCCCCCAGGACTAGCCTGCCTTCTGGTGTTGACAGACCTAGCACGGCAATTCTGTTTCGTAGCAGGGGTAACTCACCCCCACCCCAAAGTCGATGAAACTCTGCTCACTGTTGTTGAGGCAAAACCTGGAAGCAGAAAAAGACCCACAAGTGACCCAGACCCAAGGTGGCAGTTCCACAGTGCTAAGTGATGCCAGCACCTTCAGGTCAGTAAACGTCACTGATGGTGGGCATGGCAGCACTGTCAGGTCAGGAGGGCAGGCTGTAGCTGGGGCAGGAAGAGGCTGGGGATGATGAGGTACCTCTGGGCCCTAGGGCACACTGGTGTGGGTACTGTTCCCAACACTTCTCTCCACTTCTCTGCCTGCTGCCTCCCTGGGCCTGTGACTGCTGTGAGGAGCTGGACCCGAGCCCACAGTTAGGAAGAGTCATGGAATGAGCATCCCCTGAACATACCTAATATAGCCATCCCCTGTGCTCCACTCTGTCCTATCACCCCTGAGAACAGCTCTGGCTACTGACTCCAGCGAGACTGGGTCAGGAGCAGACCTGGCAGAGGACTGGCCTCCAAGGCCAGGACCACCAGGTAAGTGGGAGTCTTCTGCTCTGAGTTCAGGCTTTCCCTCTTTCTGTTCTTTCTGAGGATGTGGGCTTATCATCTCTTGGTCAACTTGCATGGTGTGACAGGAAACCTGAGCTTCTAGAGTCTTCCAAGGAGCATCAAGTGAGGTGCTCAGGACACTCAGTATAGTACAGAGGTAGGAGCACAGCCATTCACGCTAAAGATTTGTATATATTATCAAAATCTTACGGAAATACAGATACACAGCTATTTATACAACAGCAGGTGGATGTGAGGAAAATGTCTGCTTTGGCATCAAACCTTCAGGTCCAGCTGCTGTCTCGCTCTCTCTTCCCATCTGGAGCCGACTCCCCACCAGACACTGTCCATTCGGTCCACGTGCCCCTGCCATGTCCTCTGATTAGCCCGGGCTAATCAGAGGGAGGGCTTTGGGGGTATCCTCAGTCTCTCCTCACTCTCCTCTGGGAACCCGTGCCCTCTCCATCTTCCTGCCATTGTCCCACACAGAGTGCCACTGGCCCAGCAGCTTTGCCCCATGGGCTCCTCAGAGGCCTGAATCCTGGCCCTGGAGGGCAGTGGGGCTGGGCTGGATATGTGGTTCCTGCGGGACATCTTTCCCGGATCACAGGCCTCACAGCTTGCCAGCTACGTGGGCCCTGGGCAGCGCCTTCTTCTCAGTGATGTGCAAAAAGGACTCTTCTTGTCTGAAAACCTCAGCTCCAGGTATCAAAGAAATCTTTGGAGAGCCTCAGAGACAAGAAAAAGAAAGTGAGAAGAGATAAGGCTTCCTTCCTTAGGGTGGCCCAGGCCTCACACTCGCCCACGGCAGAACAGGGACATCCACAGCAGGTCAGCCAGGGATGGGGTGGGCGGGGTCTGTGTAACCCTGGGGGGTGAGGCCTGAGCAGTCATGGCATTGGCAGATGGTGCCTGGCAGCCTGGTCCTACTGAAGTAGTTTGGGCACTTCCACCTGTAAGGCAAAGCAGAGACAGGTTAGAAACAGGAGCTTGGCAAGGGACCTCTAGAATCTACCTCACCTACCTCCCTTCTGGAAAGACACACCAGACACCTCCATAGGTCTGTGGAATGTAAATGAGATGTTGGCACAGAGGGATGTGAAAAGTGGATGTCATCAAATGACCACTAGAATCACAAGTGTCAAGACCCAAATGATGTGGGAGGAGTATGTCTAGTCAGATGGGCAAATGATCATGGACTGTGTCCCCCAGGCAGGACTTCCAGGGAGGCAGGGCTTTGAGAATTAGGGGGTGGGTGGCTCTTGTGTCCATGGCACTGGTTAGTCAAAGGCAAACTCTCCTGAGGATTGAGTCTCCCAAAGACCTTTCAGAGAGACTGGTCTGTAAGATGTGGCTGGTCCTGGGAGGAGACTAAGTAAAGCAAAGGTCATTTTTGTTCCAGGGAATGGAGAAGAAAAGACTTAAAGGAAGGGCCTGAGACAGAACGACAATGTAGAGGCTGCTTCTGGTTTAACTGTAGGATGGAGGAGTTAGACGTGTGGAGTGAGAGGCTCAAGGAAGTTCTTTAAAGGAAGGATAGTCTTGCCTCTAAGGGAGACACGGTGTGGCCTGCCTGGAAGTGGGAGGATGGATGAGATGAGCTGAAATCTCCTTTGAGCCCTAGCGGTCTGTATATCCCCTGCAGCCTGACGTGAGCTCCTCTGCATGCAGTCCTGCCCTCTCCTCCGAGCCCCTGCCCGGCCCAGCCCTGTTGACCCATGCCCACAACCACTTAACTTCTTGAGCTGCTTGAGGTTGCTGGAGCGGATGGCAGCCAGTAGCTGGTCACGGGAGTTCTTCTCCTGGGCAGGGAGGACTTTGTCTCCCATCTTCCTCTGGGTAGCTGGTGACAGTGAGTTCTTCAGGTTCTCCATGATAAGAGGTGGAGCCAAGGGAGGGGGTGGGGGCGGCGGGGCAGCTGGAGCACCCCCCTTCTTGGGTGAGTTCTTTGGAGAGGGCTTTGGAGATGGCTGGGGTGAAGGTTTAGGGGAACCTTTGGCCGGGACCCCGACCTTGGGCACCTCCAGCAGATCCTTCTTCTGTCCACTGGCTTCCTGGGCCTGCCTTTGCTCCTGCAGCCGCTTTTGTCGCTGCTTGTCCATGTTGCGACTGAGCAGGTTGGTGACGGTCATCCGGGGTCCGGCCAGCTCAAAATGGTAGCCCAGCTTGAGCAGGGTAGTGTTCTCCTTGAGCAGCTTGGCGATCTCCATCTCCGTTTTGCCACCGCAGATGTGTCGCTGATTGTGGAAGCGGAGCTCGGTCAGCGTGTTGTTCTGGAGGAGGGCCCGGAAGATGGCCAGGATGCCTTTGCCCGTGATGTGATTGGAGTCCAGGTTGAGGCTGGTGATGGTCTTGTTGGCCTTGAGCATGATGGCGATGGCGAAGGCCACATGGTCATCAGCTCTTGTGTTGGCCAAGGCAAACACCTTGACCACAGTGTTGAACTCCAGAGCTTCAGTAAACCGAACCAAGATCTCGTTTGTGATGCAGTCTGAGTTGTTGACGTTCACCTCGGTCACCTCTGGATCATTGTTCTTCACTCTCTCCAAAGGCTCATCAAATATGCTGGGAGTTGCTTCCTCCTCCGCCTTGGCAGGCCCTTCGAAGGGTTTGGCGGGGCTACTGGGGACCTGTTTTTCTGGTGTTTTGGTCTTGCTCTCGTCCCCGACTTCCTTTTCACTGAAGGACTCTTCCTTCTTGACTTTTTCATCCTCCTTCTTCATGTCTGCATCCCCAGTTGCTCTCTTCACCTTCTCCTGCTCCTTCTTCCTGTCAGCATTTCCACTTGCTGTTTTCACCTTCTCGTCCTCTCTTCTGAGGTCTGTGTTCCTGCTGACCCCCTTCACCTTCTCACTGTCCTCTTTCCTGGCCACCTCCTTCACTTCCTCTCTCTTCTTATCCTTGTCCCTGCCCAACCCCGTGTTCCTGTCACTCCCCCTCTTCTCCTCTTCCTTCCTGGGGGCCACTGTCCTCTCCTCTCCTCTCCCATCTTTCCCTGCCTCCTTTTTGTCCACTGCAGCCCTGACCCGACCCTTGTCAATGCCCCTGATGATCTTCTCCTCCTTGGGCTTCTCACCACTTTTGCTGTCAGCTTCATCTCTGTCTCTGGAGAAGCTGTTTTTTAAACCACCCCTCTTTGGCTCCTTCCCCAGGTCTGAGTCCCGTCTGGGGCCCAGGGGTTTTTTGCTGGCATCTCTGCCCCTTTCCTCTCCGTTCTTGGCGTCTGTCTTGGTCTCCACTTGCTTGCTTTCCTAAGAATTCAGAAAAGAAAAATAAACATGCAGAGCTGGCTACAGAGGGAGAGGAATGAGTGTGGGGACAAGTGGGGGAGCACTTACATAACTGCCCTTGAGCCTCTGAAGGACAGCGGTGTTTGGGAGAGTGGGGTGGATGTCTCCGTTGAGGGCAGCATAAGAGGGACTCGGCTTCAAGCCGCAGAGAATGGCCTGACGTCAGGCACAAGGCCTCAGGGTTATGGGACGCCAAGATGAGCACCTGCAGGGGTTGTGGCAGTTTCTTTCCCAGAGGCGTCCCAGAAAAGGATTGCCCTTTTCTGTCATGGGTGATTTAGAAGGACTGCTTCCAAGCAGTGCCATGCCAAGCCACATAGGAGCCTGAGGCAAAAGGAAAAGTCACTGACACTGATTCTGTATTTAAAATTTTGCATTTCTATTCACCATGGATTTTTCTGCATTAATTTTGATTTTTAAAAATATACCGGGCTCGGTGGCTCAGCCTGTAATTCCAGCACTATGGGAGGCCGAGGCGAGTGGATTGCCTGAGCCCACAGGTTCAAGACCAGCCCAGGTAACCTGGCGAGACCTCGTCTCTACAATAAAATAAAATAAAAAATAGCTGGGTGTTGTAGTGCGCAGCTGTAGTTCTGGCACTCAGAAGATTGAGGTGGAAGGATCACTGGAGCCCAGGTCAACGCTAGGGTGGTCGTGAGCGTGCATGCCACTGCACTCCAGCCTGGGTGAAGGAGTGAGACTCCAACTCAAAAAATACACACACACACACACACACACACACACACGCACACACGCACACATTAAAAGGCTGGACATGGTGGATTACACCTGTAATCCCAGTGCTATGGGAGGCTGAGGCAGGAGAATCGCTTGAGGCCAGGAATTCAAGACCAACCTGGGCAACACAGAGAGATCCTGTCTCTACAGAAAATTTAAAAATTAGCCAGGCATGGTGGTATGTGTCTATAGTCTTAGCTATTTGAGAGGCTGAGACAGGAGGATCTCTTCAGCCCAGGAATTCAAGCCTATAGTGAGCCACAATGGTGCCACTGCACTCCAGCCTGGATGACAGAGCAAAACCCTGTCTCAAAAAATTGAATATATGGGGAGACACCCCTTATCAACAAGGGTGCCTGAACAAAACATATTTGTATACCTAACCCTTAACTGTACCCCACAATATCAAAATAAAAAATATTGATAAAAAATTAAATATAGATACAGATATAGACATCCGTAATCTTGCTCAATTAGTTTTTTTGGCATCCCCTTGCCTTCTGTGCCCAAGGCAAGTGTCTCACATCTCTCTTCCTAGTCCTGACACTGCTCCCAAGCAGGCTCTCAGATACTAGAAGTTTACAAGAAAATACATTTGAAAAGACAAAAAAAATTTTTGGAAGGATCAACATAGGGTTGCTAACACATTTTATTTTACCAATTAAGGATATTTATCTATCTACCATTGTCATCTGACTGAAATAAGGAGCTAAATATAAAGAAGGTAGACATCATAGAATAAAGGATATACCTTAACATCAAATAAGTGTGCTTTAAAAAAAAATTACAGTATTGTCTATATTTTTAGTAAAAACTTTGCTAAAGACAAGCACCTCTCTGTGAGCAGCCCTGGAATTCACTGGGTCAGCTAGTCTCGGCAGAACTCTGCCAGACCTGGGATCTCAAATTCTGTGACTCCATTTTGACCACCCAGACACTGAGAAGTTGCTGAGGGAGACCATGGGACTGAGTCAGCTGAGCTGGTTTTATACACAACGCAGGCCACCCTGTGCCTCCATGAAGTTGCACCAAGTCTGAGTTCTGTTTTGAGAGTACTTCCCTCCCCTCCCCATCAGAGAAGCAGAGGAAGCAGCAGAATTGCCTAAGATTAGGCCTTAGATTTAACTGTCCAACTGTGATGGACACCCTAGATCAACTGGGACCTACAGGGATGCTGTGATATCCTTCCCTGAAGGTTTTTCAAGAGGAAGAGACTGTGGTCTGAATATTGGAAGGGTTTTCTGCTTTCAGGAGTATCTGATTGGGGTGTGGGAAGAGAGGAAGGAAGAAAGGAAAAGCAATATTTCATTACACGTTCTGGCCCATGCAGCCCTTCCTCACCCTTCCCAGAGGGAATGGAGAGAGAAGTTGGTCCTATGGAAACAGTACCTGCACACAAACACATGCCACTGGGGACCAGCCCCTGGGTTTATTTAGCAGCTAATGTCCTTGGCTCCTCTGCTAGAATCACAATAGGCAGCCAAGGGGCACAGGGCCTGGTGAGACAGGGCCTTGGAATGTGTCCGTTCTAGCCTCCTGCCCAATAGGCCCCAGGGTCCAGTTGCACTGCAAGCGTCACTGGGGCTGCAGTGATGGGTCAAGGGGCAGAGAGCGCCCCTCACACTCACTGTGGCTTCTGGGGAGATGGGTTTGACCCTTCAGATCATCTTGGAGCAGAAGTGATGGTGACTTGACTGAGCCTTCATTTGCAAGGAAGAGGAAACACATGAATATAAATGAGGATTTCCAATGGAGCCGCTCTTTTAGGAAGCTCTTACAATGACCAGCCCAAAGTCAAACCAGGGAATTCCCTCTCGCTGTCTCCATACCACCAAGTAAAGGGGTTTTATCACAGATTCCATCCACTTTGGGAGCCTGGAGGTGAGCTGGATGGACAGCCTCTCAGAGCTCAAAGTCAGGCCTCCAAGGCAGAGACTCTTGCTCTCCCCTCTTCCTTCCCATCCCTAAATGTGCATGCTTAGGTATTTCTCAGAGCCCGCTGTGCACTCCCCAGCCACCCTCTGCAGAGTTCCCACACCACTCACCGGCTTCACTTAGAGGGAAAGTAAGGATCTCGAGAGAGAATCAACTTCACCCTACAAGTTCAGAGAAAGCTGGATTTCAGACCTGACTGTCACACCAGCAGCCACCAAGTCAATGTAACTGTCTCTGACCTTCCCCATCAGGGGCCAAAGGAACCTTCTCTGTGTGCCCATGAGCCCACGGGTGCCTGAGTGCTCTGCTGCCCACAAAACCTTGCCCACTCACCCTGACCTCTCATCCAGCCCCCTTCAGACCCAGGACTCCCATTCACAACCTTCCCTTTCTCAGTTTCCAACATTTGAACCCGCTCTTCTTCCTGACACTCCACATCTTGACCTCTCCCTTTTGTCTTCATGCAGGGCTACTCCCTGCTCCCTCCTAGGTGCTTCCCTTCACTGGGGTCCTAGTTGGCTAGAATCTGCCAAGTGTCTGTTCTCCAGGAGGTGTGCCAACCCTTTAAAAAGAACCTAATGAAAAACAGGCTGGGGGTGGGAGGGAAAGGGCTGATTAATCATCAGTTTCCTCCAAATAGCCAGGAATGAGTGGGGCTGGGGCTTGTTGTAGCTCGTGCAGCCCTGGGAGCTCAGATGTTGCCTTAAAAGGAGAAGGAGTCCAGAGTCCTCCCAGGGCTGAGATTTCTGTTGAGCAGAGTTCTGAGGCGCTCGGCACATAGCAGAGCTGCTTCCTTCATGCTTATCTGAAAGGAAGACCAGGACAACTTCTTCTTGCTTTTAAAACTGGTGGTACCTCCCGGTGACCTCCAGAGGTTATTTTTGCCTGTGCTTCTGTCTTTAGACCTTACTTGACCAATTGTGCTTTATATAGCAAGAGGGGTTTCGGTTAGCTATAACAAAGAACTTCCATAGAGTGAAAGTCCACAGCCTCTGAATGAGAGACCTAAGTAGTAATAATTATTTTTCCCCCTTGGGAAAAGCTTTAGGGCTGGGGTGGTCTGGGAGTGGTGCATGGAGGCAGAGGAATGGAAAGGATGACCTCTGAAAACCTTTAATGACCTGTGGCACATCGAGGGACCCAGTGATCAGGTTCAGAGATAAGAAGTAGCTCCTGACTCCCATCTCCTCCAGGCCCATGGCCACATGATGTTGCTCTTTGTCATGTGAGCTAGGATCCAAGTTAAATGCCCTTGGTAGGTTCAAATGGGCAGAACACAGCATCTTTTCCCTTACCTTGGGGCTTCTGATACTACTTCCTCTAGAAGTCTTATCTGATTAGACAGAAAAACTCACCACCTCCATTGCCAACAGAAGAAAGGAAAATAATTGTTTGTCTGTTCAGAAAGAACTTGCTAAAGGCAAGGGCAGACTGCACTCTGCGCCTAGGTCACAGATGCCCTGTAAGCTCATGCTGACCCCGCCAAGGTCATCTCTTTCCTTTCTGTGACCCATCGCCGGAGGAGGAGGTATCTCCCTCTCTGCAGAGTCACCTGGCCCTGGTGGCTGCAAGGGTCTACAGATGGACTCGGCAAAACTGCTCAGACAAGAAGGAGGAAGGTACAGGCCTGCCTTTTTTAGCAGGAGTCACTTTCCAGCCACTTGCCTAGGAGAGGGCAAAGCCAAGGAGGGCAGAGCTGACTGACAATGACTGTACCCCTCACACGTGATACCGCTGCCATGTGTTCAGAAGCCTTTGTTCCTTCCTCAAAGCAGTCTGAGGTGACACTGATTCAGACAATTCAGTGTCAGTCTTACTGTGCTCCAGGGCTGTCTGGCATCGGAGGCATCCAGAATGCCCCAGCTCGAGCTCCAGGCTAGTGGCTGGAACCATTGGGTCTTTAACCAGCTCTACTTTGGGCCAACTCTCTTCCCTGGTCTTACCTGAAGTCCCTGAGGGCACTGACAGCCTCTGTGTGTGGAGCTGGAGCTCATTAGAAGAGAGCATTTTTACCTTGGCCTGGGTTGTGGCCTGCTTCTTGGTTCTCTGAATCAAAGTTATATTTACCAGGAAAGTACCAGGGAAATATGTGACATATCTCAGTCCTACTCCCAGTACACAAACTCTTTACCACCTGTCCTTCCCAGTCCTGCACCGGTGTCCCCTACCATGTCTTAGAGCCCAAGCTCTCATTCTCCTGCTCTTCCCATCCAGCTGTCCCAGCAAGGACTGGGGCCCTGACCCCACTCCTTCCAGCTACCAGGTGACTTCCTGAAATCAGGCATTGC